CTGAAAATGATATATGTGAAATAGATAGAAAAATGATTTAAAACTAATTAGTTTCACAGGAAAAACAGATTGGGGCCATAGCACATTTTATTTCTTTAATCATAATTGATCTGATATGGATATTTTAAATCATCATTTTTCAATCTCACTTGACACTAAACCAAAAGTAGTACAGATAAATAATTAACAATATTTGTTTGTTTGAATGAAAATCCATTTTCTGGTCCAATTAATGCATGAGTGATAAAATAGACTATGGTTCTACACCATTAATCATCTAACAGATATTGAGGTCAGTGGGGTACAAACAGCCCCTTGCCTGCCTACAAAGACAATTAATGACTAACATGAGTGGTCATCTTAATGACCTAGTCAAAGTGACCACTGTATTTGCCACTGGACATTAAGCAAGCAACAATTATAGTAATCCCAGACCTCAGTTAAATTTAAGAAATAGTCAGTTAAGATGATTTTTGATGATTTTGCTTCAATTAAAACTTTTGTCTTGCGTAAAGCAAACTTTTATAATCTGTCTGCATTGTGACAGTCCCCAACAAAATATGACAAAAAAGAAAAAAAAAACATTGAACTTTGGTTGACTGTAATATTATTATATCCTAGTTTTTGTAAACTTTAACTATATAGGATATATTACATTGCCTGCTGTTGAATTTTGTATTTGAACTTTATATGACTGTAATTAAAGTTGTTTAATTGTAAAAATATCATCACAGATTTAGTTCTCTGGGTGAGGAATAAGTAGGCTACATGTAATTACAGATGGAAATACGTAGATCTAATATAAAGCTCTAATCTTCTTACTGTATATGTAGGAGGAGGCCCTTTGTAGACAGGGTGACCAGAGTTTAAACAATGGTAAAAAAATATTAACAAAAATACCCAACTTTAAGGTAAATTCAAAAAGGGGAAGTCCATAGAAATTGACAAAATTAAACATTAGACTTTAAAAACCAAGGAAACAAATGGTAAACATCTGTCTTATTCCTGACTAATGGCAAAGGTATTTTTAGAAGAAAATGATGGGTTGAACCTGGTTTTATAAGCTAGATAAACCTCCCACTTGTATGACAGTTGCTTATAGTTCCTAAAATATTGACAAAATTGAGTGAGCAACCCAAACAAACTAAATAGGTTAATTTGTGACAATAATTGGTATCCACCTGCAAAAACCGTGTAGACATACATTACAGACATACAACACAACTGACTAAAAAATTCAAACAAGCCTACTCTAAGAAGCCAACAATAAAGTTGTTGTAATGGATAGTGACACCAGCAAAAATTTGTTTGTAGTTGAAAGTACATACAGTATATATAAATAGTATACACTTTCTCCTTAAAGTAAGGAAGATGATGAGTATGATGGATGGCTGCTTAATGTCCAGCGGCAAATTAATATGCATATTCAGAACAGGAATATGTTAATGTAATGTGAGTATTAACCCACAGCTTTGTACTAGACCGGCATGCTGAGCCGGATTTTTTACGTGCTAGTACACAATGTAACAGTCCGCAGGAAGACACTGTCACCTTACCCGGAAATATTATTCTGACTCCGAGCCGAACAGTCCTTGCTCTTATCTCCTTAATGCCGTGGAGAAGCAGCAAATACCAATTTTGAAGTCTTTGGTTTGACCTGGCCAAGGTTAGGAACCCATGACCTCCCGCACACGAGGTGAACACAGTACCACAAGACCACCGAGGCAGTTTCATAAAGGAAGGAAGTCTGACAGAAAGAGTAGTGGTTGACTGAAACAATATCCTTTAGCCAAACCTATTTTATTACATTTACTGAAATATTATTTTGGGGCATGTAGAACTGACTAATCTGTTCACTTAATTTTGGAATAAGTTATATTTTAGTGGAAATAACCTATTTATAGTCTTTTATATGTATATATAAATATATAATACGTGTAAACAACAGCCCAACAATGTTAGATCTGTAAATTTGCGGAAGCAAATTTTTTGTTCCTCCCTGGCCGGGATTCGAACTCATGCTCCTGAGATATCGTGGCACCAAACTTTTCGGCCTTGTATCACCATCACTGCTAGTGATCCTTGAGTTGCCACTGGTTCAGACGTACTTATATATATATATATATATATATATTTTGTATGGGTGCCATGAAAAATAATGTGTAAGGACATTTTGTATTATGCAATCATTTGAAAGAAACAAAAGGTTTAAATGTCTAGCAATTGTGCCAAGTAATGTAATACCTAGAAACTTGTTTCCTAAATGCAACTTTATGAATTGAAATTCCAAGAAAATTCTTTTGTGTAAGTAATATACGAAAACTGATATTTTCTCAAATTTATTTTATATATAATCTGTGGATTCATTTATTTTCATTGTTGTATTTAAAAAAAAAACAACGGGTAAACAGGTCCTTTAAAAGTAAGAAAACCTGTTATTTTAAAACATATTATAACAGTTTTCTATAGGTAATACTGATTCTATTAAAATGTAAGATTTCATTGTATATGAATCATATATCTTGGAATTGATCGATATTCTTTTACAGCAGAAAGAAATTTTATAGATAAATTTTCTATTAAGACATCCTATGTTAAATGATTTAACCAATTAAAAGTTTTATCATCTTCCTATCAGGTTTATGGTATTTTTATTATCTTAATAGTGGTATAATTATAAGTGTATCTTCAATTATGTCAGTAGGTCACTATGTCAGTAAGTTCATCTCGCTGGTTAATTGTTACTAAAAGCTGGGATAGATCTAATAATAGTAATAATAATGATAATTATAATAATAATAATAATAATAATAATATTTTATATAACAGATGACATAATAATACAGAAAATTTAATTATTTATAAGGAATCTCATATATTTTAAATTCCTTTTCTATTTTCTGTAATCACTTTTTTGGATAGAAGCACATAAAAGATTGTATGGTTTCAAAACTCATTTTGGTGATTTGCAAAATGGAAATATACTCTGTCTCCTTGTATAAGTATTTTTGGAGTTAAATTTGTTTCTTTTCACAAATATGAATTCTCATTGCCTCGCACTAAACAACCAAAACAAAACAAGGGTTATGAAATATTGCCCCTATTTCATGGATTATGACTTCCATGTATTGTAGACAAAATTGTACTTATAATGATAATTGTCTACATATTACAGTCTTTTGCAGATTTCATATAATATAAAAAAATCCACTTTGATGTATAAATATTAGATTTAGTATTCTAAGTAATATTTTCATGTTCTGGGCCATCTGTTCATCATGAACTGTTATATTTTCAGCCACTGGAGCTATTTCGAGAATAATATCAAAGAGTTAAACCTTTAAATTGTATTTTATATATATGTTGTAGCCAGGGCTTGTTTAATGTCTTCTGTCAAGGGTTAATTAGGTATACATAAGTTAATGAGGTGTGGTGTCCTTGAAGGACAGGGTAAACAGGCTGTACTGTGTACCCTGAATCATAATGGACTTGATTGGTGACAAAATGGCTGTACCAATTAATCTACCCACAGAATTACTGAATTTAAGAAATATTATTCTACTTTTATTTTGTAGTCTATAGAAATACTGATTGGGTATGATTGCTATCAAGTAATTGTTAGCATACAGTTATACTACATATTTGAAAAAAACAGTCCTGTAATAAAGTACTACTGTTCCCAAGGTCACATCTGGTCATAGGCGGATCCCAGGGGGGTGTGGCTTTTGTGGGAAAAATTTGGTTGATTATATAGGGAATCACTGAAGCATGACTGTAGCGGGCCCCCTCTTATGGCAGTCAGTGGCGCCCCTTATAAAAAGTTCTGGATCCACCACTGCTGGTAGATCTGATTTTACAGAACAGAAAGTAACAAATGTACCAAACAATTTAAGTAATAGTTACAAACATATTTAACCCAGCCACATTTTGTTTGAGCCTGTCCCAAGTCAAGAGTCTGTAATTCAGTGGTTGTCATTGTTTGCTGTCTTTCATGAATGTTTTTTCTTTATTGTTTTGTGTGTTGATTTTCTAATTTTGTCATGTAAGGCTTGTTATAGCTTACTTATTTACAGTTATTAGTTTTTCTCATTGTTGAGTAGATTGTTTATAAGTTTGTCAATAACTTTTAACAGGAGTTTTTTTTTATTTTTACAGACCACTGATGCAGTAGCTTCTGTAAACCTGTAGTTGCTTGTTTTTTTTTTGTCAAGTCACTTAACATGAGTTTTTAATTTTACAGAGCCATTATACCACTGCCACCAATTGTGCCCCTTTCTCATCCTGTAGTAGATTGTTATTTCCTTAGTAAATTAACATGAATTGTTTTATATTTACAGAGCCAATACCACTGTCACCAGTTATGTCCCTTTCTCATCCAGTAGTAAATTGTTATTTCTTTAATAACTTATCATGAGTTGTTTTATTTTTACAGAGCCAATACAACTGCCACCAGTTGGGCCCCATTCCTCAACCTGTAGTAGATTGTTATTTCCTCAGTAACTTAGCACGAGTTGTTTTATTTTTACAGAGCCAATACTGTTACTGTCACCAGATGTGCCCCTTCCTCATCCAGGAGTAGGTTGTTATTTTTTCAGTAACATATCATGAGTTGTTTTATATTTACAGAGCCAATACCACTGCCACCAGTTGGGTCCCTTCCTCATCCTGTAGTAGATTGTTATTTTGGGAGTAACTTAACTTGCTTTATTCTTACAGAGCCAGTCTACCACAGCCAGTCGTGCCCCTTTCACATCATTAAGTAGATCGTTATTTTGTCATTAACTTAACATAAGTTGTTTTATTTTTACAGAGCCAGTACCACTTACCACCAGTTGTGCCCCTTCCACATCGTCTAGTAGATTGTTAGTTGTCAGTAACTTAACATAAGTTGTTTTATTTTTACAGAGCCAGTACCACTACCACCAGTTGTGCCCCTTCCACATCGTCTAGTAGATTGTTATTTTGTCAGTAACTTAACATAAGTTGTTTTATTTTTACAGAGCCAGTACCACTACCACCAGTTGTGCCCCTTCCACATCGTCTAGTAGATTGTTATTTTGTCAGACCAGTTACCTGTTCATTTTGTGAGTATTAAATAATTATATTCGAAAGTGTGGAAACCTAAAATCATTATTGAGGAAATTTTTTAGTTTGTCAGACTGATAACTTGTTCATTTTGTAACAACTTTTAAGGTGGTTGGAGGGTTTGAAAATTGTGTTGCCGCAAATGATGGGTATAGATTTACTGAAAGTTATTTACAAAAACTCATGTATATATCTTGTTCATATGAGTACGAGAACAAGTTGGCTTGTAGGGGCACACACAATAATTACCCATTGGAATACCAGCTGTTGGTACATCAATCCACCAAACATAATACATATGTTGTCCATCAAAAAGACCATGTTTTTTTTGATAATTTCTTATTAGGTGTTTTTGAAACCATAGGTAAATAAAATGACACAGATTTAACCATGATTTTTGGAATTAAATTTTTCAAGGATGCAGTCCTATAAACCAAAGGAATACAGCTAAATATAAAAGTAAGGAATGGCTCATGTACATGCTAGTTTCCTTAACTCACGTGAGAATCAGCTGATATGGTATCTCATTTGACTTCAAAAAAGAAATATGACAAGTTAAGATAACATTGAATGTGAAATCAATTTATGTAATGTTAATATTGTCTCAAGTCTTAGATGAATGCTATGAAAATTATTAATGGACAAAAACTCATTCAAGTAGTCTAGAAAGAGGATTTCTTTTGTCTTGGAAGTCAAGAAGCATACTTGAGCTAAAATGAAGTAAGGATAATAATGGTATACCATTCTGGTATCTCATGATTTTGTTGTAGAAAATTCCAATAGTTGACCTTGACAATGCAAAATCAGCTGAGTTTAGAACCCAATATTGGACATTTGTAGTTTAAATAGAAAATATATTCTATTTTTACTTCTCTTTATTGTTAAGGTCTTTTTAATGAATAATATAAAAATGTAGATCAAACGGTAAAGAAAAAGGTTTGAAAATTAATAGAGTGTTTCATTAAACAAGAATGCCAACTTCCATATACTAACTTTATTCTGAAGGTTTTAGTGACATGGAAATTCGGGTTTTTATATTATCATGTATGATATGAATGGTATTGCATAGCCTTTTCTGTACTCTCTTATTTTATTGGAAAGGGGTATCATGGTAGCTTCAAATACTTGTACCACTAGCTGTAATACAATTGACTGCACTATTTGTTAACTAGTTATAAAACCAGTACCAATGTACTAGTTATCTGTCAACAGTTTATGACCTTCTGGTGTACCAGATATTGGACAGTAATGACATAAAAGATTTACTGTTAGACAGGTATTTGATCACTTTATCAATTAATTGGAAAAAAATTCAAGGATTCTGTAATTGTGTTCTAAGATTGAAACTCAGGGATAACTATTGTAATAGTCTTTGAACCCTCCTAGAGACAGGTGATCAGAGAAAAACAGCCTGTTTTTGCTTGTCTGATTAATGTTTGGTCCATCTATTGGTAAGCTGGAGAAATCTACCAACAGTGACGGCTTGGGTTAAGGGATAACTGTGAGTAATTAGTGATTATGTAAGATTGTGTCTTATTTATCTGTAAACTTTTAGTTTCTTTGATAGGAGAGCGAGGGGCTGGGAAGTTAAGAGTATTCAGTATGATGCAAGAAATTAAAAGTTAAAGGGTAAAGAAATATGTGCAGTAAGGGCCTTATTTGGCCCCTAATATTCAGTCCATAATTTTAAGATGAAATGAAGAAGTTGGCCTGTCATCATTGAACTCCTCAGAGGTGCCTGTATATTAAATAAACATTTTTGTTGTAGCAGTGTCTTTTTTTAGAGGGGTTACTAAGAAAAAAAATATAAGGAAAAGGCATGTAGGAATATACTTGAAAATAAAGTCTACATAATTTACTATAACAGGTTTTACAAATTGTAGTTCATCAAAAAATATATACTTTCTTCATTTCCTTAGAGCAAACAGTTCACTTTATATCACCAAAAAAACATGTTGCTTCCAGGAGTTATGCCCCTTTTATAAAAATCCACTGGAGTATTTATGTAATGTAGATAGACCTAATCTGTAATCTGTTAAGTTATGAGGGTCCTCTGGGTAATAACCTTGTTATTTCTTACATCGATGTCATGGCTATTCTAAGTAGAGCTGTTAGAGGGGAAGTATTAACACTTGACATCTTTTTGTAAGGTATATTGTATAAGTTTTGTGAAGCATTAGTAGGTATGTGTTCTCTGCCGGGAGAAAGATTTGTATTGTGGATACTAGACACACACAATATTATACATAGATGACCCTATGTCTATATGTGTCTTATCAAATTAAAAATAGATTGTGTTTTACCTAAATTTAGACAGAGTTGTTTACTTACCCTGAACTTTGACTAAAAATATCCGGAGATTCATATGTGGGTAGATTAAAATCATGTCAAATGCAGTATAGTTATCAGATGAAACGTGAATATAAAAAACAAAGAGATATGTTGGGCCAGATATCTATTGGGTTGTGTCACTTTGGGTTGCTGTCTTATTCATATTTACCACACATGTCCTTTTATTCACATTTAAGTTACTTACAGCAAAAAAAAAGTCGTCATAGCTCAAAATAGGGAAAATTAAAACAAAACCATAATTATTAAATTTATAGAAAAAAGTTTATGTACTTTAAGGCAGTTTCAATAAAAATGGCACTGCAGACCACCAATTAGTAAATTGTGGTTGCAATTACTGTGAATTAAATATTATTTGTGGGGTTGTTTTTTTCTCTCCATAGAGTAGAACCATAAATTTAAGTGTTTAAATACACATTTCTTTTTGGCTATTATGCAGAATTGGTTAAAACCATGAAAGCAGGTAAAAATCAAAATACATTTTTTTTCTCAATACACAAAAACAATGGTGCCAATGAAAATTAATCCACAGTAACAAGTAATTAATTTTGTTTTGCTGATACATAATGATTTGCATTCCAGATAATAATTGTGGATAATTTAGTACTGCTTTCTTTATCTTTAAATGTAAAAAATTAATTTCTGTTTTTTTTTTTTAATTCTGCCTTGACACTTTACTGTAGAACATTGAGTACATAAAGTTCTTAGCTTTATTCAGTGTAATTCTGCCCTGACACTTTACTGTAGAACATTGAGTACATATAGTTCTTAGCTTTATTCAGTGTAATTCTGCCCTGACACTTTACTGTAGAACTATGAGTACATATAGTTCTTAGCTTTATTCAGTGTAATTCTGCCCTGACACTTTACTGCAGAACATTGAGTACATATAGTTCTTAGCTTTATTCAGTGTAATTCTGCCCTGACACTTTACTGTAGAACATTGAGTACATATAGTTCTTAGCATTATTCAGTGTAATTCTGCCTTGACACTTTACTGTAGAACATTGAGTACATATAGTTCTTAGCTTTATTCAGTGTAATTCTGCCCTGACACTTTACTGTAGAACATTGAGTACATATAGTTCTTAGCATTATTCAGTGTAATTCTGCCTTGACACTTTACTCCAGAACATTGAGTACATCAAGTTCTTAGCTTTATTCAGTGTAATTCTGCCTTGACACTTTACTCCAGAACATTGAGTACATATCGTTCTTATCTTTATTCAGTGTTCTAGAATTTGGACTTCTTAGTTCAATATGCAGATCTTTTTAATTTCCGACTATTTAAAAGTGTTATTGCACCAAGATTAATTATTGATTGTTGAATTTACTACCATGTGGTAGGCAAAAATCACATAAGAGCTTATAATACTGAATTACTGAATAGCATGCCAGTTGTATATTTAATATTTTAAACAGCTTTTGTGTTTTTTTTCCTTTTTTAAGGGAGGGCAGAATATGGCCCATTCTTCCTCTTCACAGATTATAATCTTCAATGGTACCAAATTAATTGTAAATATGAAAAACACAGTGCCTAGCCTTGGAAAGTTTTGTTTAGCAAACTTACAAGATGAAAATGAAAGGATATAAATAAAAAAATATAACATTTTTTAACTTGTCAGTCCTTTCAGGTTTATGTTCCAAGATTTTGTTAAAATTGACAAAAGACTGTCTATCTTAGTGTTGATTTTATATATGTTCCCAAGATATTTTAATCATGAGATAATTTCCCCTTGTCAACACCAAAATATGATTGGTTTATAAAATGAATGAATTGTATTTCCTTGTATTAAGCTTTACCATGTTACAGCACAGTTGGAAAATGGTGCTAAGTACCGCTTTGAAATTTTATATTGGGATTCTTTGTCTCTTTTCAGTGATTTGCATAGATTTTATAGCCATGCTTACATTATCCAAACGATGATGAACCCAGTGTAAAATTACGAACTGCTCAACATTATTTGAAAATAAATATATGTTTTTTGGAGGTGACCCTTTTTGGCAGATTATTGACAATTTGTGTGACTCACGACTGAACTTGGAAAATAAAATCATTGAGTGTTATCCTTTTCAATGTCACAATGGACTTAATATATAGCATGCACACATTTTGATATTAACTACAATCATTATGCCCTTGGAGTTGTATGTTATAGGACGTAACATTGTGATCTTATGCTTATGTCTGTGTTAGAATAAGGAAACTGAATAACTTTGTCCTATTGCGCCATTATATATACCTTATCACATTAAGCACAATCTCTGAAATTTGGAGTATCCCTAAGTTGATATGGTATTGTTTATTATTATTTTTTTTAAATAATAACTCAAGTAGTACAATTGAACTAACTCGAAGCATGTTGGAAGAAATGAGACTTTGGGCAGACTTCCATTTCAACCCCTTCCCTGGTTGATGGAATATGCAAAATAAACAAGTAAGGGAGTTCAAATGGAGGTCTTGCCATGACCTTACTTTGCTTAAGAAGTTTATAGAATCCATTATCACATGAACATTAACAGAGAATCTTTGTGGTTCCATTGCACCACACCAGTACTACTTACCCGGAAATAAAGGAATTTGATCAAATAACAATGGCATTGATTGACCAACTTTTATATGAATATATCCTCCATAGACTCTTTAATT